GGGCTTCCCCTCACGCTAGGCCGCTGTGTTTTTCGTTGTGAAAGCGAAACTACTTTGTTTGGCCTTCCAAAAGAGGACGATATCCGCTTCGTCATGCCTAGAGCTGATCTGTGCTGGTCGCTGAGGGAATACTTCAACTTAGTGCTGTGGATCGCCGGCACATTTTATGGAGGACTGTTTACTGATCCTGGGAGAGTAACGTTAGACTAAAATGCCGGCAGTTCTGACTCACAGTCTGTAAGTACGTTTTTATTTAAAGGATTTGCCACTGATGATTCAAACGCAAGTTTTGAGCAGTGTAGAGTAGCACTTGTTGTTCGTCATTTCTCCGATCACAAACGCAGACAGAGTTTTATGTTTACTCGGCACGATGAAATGCAATGCAACGTGTAAAAAGACAGTATAAGTCATTATAGTAAGTAATTATGTCCCCACTGGATGCAACAAATGCCTCGTTTGTAATGGGTTTTAATGTTTTTGGTCTCGTCGCTCCGGCCGGGACACGGCATCAACAGTATGTGAGGGGCGTAACATTTCCGTCACACGCTTGAGGTATTTGGCCAATCACAACGCACTGGATAGCTGGCCAATCACAGCACACCTCGCTTTTTCAGACCAATGGAAAATAATGTGTTTTTTTTACTTTAAACCACATAAACGCATTTCATTACACCAAATACACAAAATAATGTTATTTTTAGCAGCATCATATGACCCCTTTAATGGGGGCAAGTGACCTGAGGGAAATAATGCACAGACACATGTAGTGCGGTCCAAAAGTTTGAGACCACTAGAGAAAATAATTATTTGAAATGTAAAAATATATGATATATTTTATTATCAACATTGCATAGTCTTGTTTTACCCAGATTTGCTTACATTTAACCAAAACATAGTAACAAACTTATTTTTACTCACACAAAAGTAGAATAAAGTACAATAAAACATGATAAATGATATAATAAAATAATAAAAAAGTAAATATACGGTACTGATCTGTTCAGCATTATTATATAAAAATTGAAGAAAAATATATTTCATTTATTGTCATAACTTTTTATTATAAGTTTATTCCTAAAACTCAAATACCCACAATTACTCAGGCAAGCAGAATAAAACATGACAAATCCTAAAAGTTCATGAAAAGTTAATATTCAGTACTGATGTGTTGATATTATTATATATAATAATATTTGTTAATAATTTATAGTCAAAGTAATGGAAGAGCTGCCCATAAATGTGTAAAAATAATAAAAGAAAAATAATATATTTTTTTCTATTAATCAGCTTCCTCATAATGTCTCTGGAACAGACTTTATATTTTTTGTGGTATTACATAATTTATTTGTACGTCAAACAAAGAGATTTAGAAGTGTCCCTTAAATTTTAGGAACTGCACTGAACTTCTAAACATTATCTGACCGTTTAAAATGTGGTTTAAAGAGGACAAACATTTTTTTTTTTAAATATCACTACTTATGTAATTAAAAACGAAATAAACAAAGTGATTTTTGCATAATACCAACGGGATGAGTAATATAGCAGAATTTTCCCTTTGAAGAGAGAACACAAAATCTGTAAATCTAAATGATGTCTTTGTGTTGGCACAGCTTTAGCATAATAAACACTGAGACACACCAGAAGGCCCACATGGGCATGGCTGAGATGTTCCGCAGTGATTCTCTGAAAAACAAACCTTAACTACTTCCTCCCAGACACTATGATGTCACGTCAGAGTATAATGAGAACTTCCTGTCAGACACTCACATCTTGGGTATGTCGTCACTTTAATCTCCTGAGACGTCCACATGGGAAGGACTTTCAGATTTGTAATTATGCTCATTTTAAGAGACCTTTAGCAACCTTTTGGTACCTGCTTAGATGTCATTATTACATAAGCATGTAGTGTTATCTTGACTAAAGCCTGGAAGACACTACAACTTTTAAAATACGAACAGATTTTAAGACACTAGGCACCTTAAACTTGCTGACTTTGTGAATGTTTACAGAAAAAATATGCCACTCACCATGGCATGAGTCGTCCGATCTTTGTCCATTTGCTTTTAGTGATGAAGAATCCCACAATAGGGTCAGTAATTGCCCCCCAAGCCTTACCGACGAACAACACCATGGACGCCTGGAACGGGTGAATCTGTCAGGAGAAGAGAAAGTGAACATCTACATTAATAGAAATCATTATTTGTTATTCAGACTGTAGTACGGTTCTTGCTAGAAGTATTAAAAATTAAAAGAGCAGAATCATTAACAGTGAAATTATTTTTAGCTTCTCTTTCCATTAATCAAAGAATGAATAGGGTGCTATTCTGTGATTAATATGCACTATTAACATCATATCCGCAAGTATTATATGGCTTAATATTTTATTATAATATGTGGAGATCTCACCTGTGCAATGTCAAGTAGATATATTTGAAGGAAGAATGCTGTTGCGCTCCCGGCGACCTGATTCGGTGCCCCTCCGATGGCGAAACAGAGTTTGCTACATACAGAGAGCTTCTGATCCAGATGAGTCTGAAAACAAAAGCCAAGTCAGAAAATAATATGCAAGAAACCAGGTTACATTTTGAAGCTGGCGGGTCATTCTTACAGTGCTATTTGTACCCGAAAGTTTCATTTTCAAATGTTTTTCATTTTTATTTAATATTTCATGTGATGTTTTATTGAAATGTTACTGCTGAACTTTCTACCTTTTCATTTTTATTGTCTTCAAAGTAATTCATCTTGATTTGTTGTAGTCGGTTAGTACTTGATTAGAGGTGCTAGACCATCCCCATGTGGAGTTATTTTATTGAGGTTTCTGGGTGATAATCACAGCATCTGTCTTTAGGACGGTCGACAGTTCAGAGTTTCTCTTTCTCCAGCTGTGGGTGGGATAGTTTGAAGGGTCCTCAGCCCGAGACCCTTCAGAACCACAGGTAATATTTAATCCAGATGCTTCCACTGCTGTGAGTGACGGGGTATTTGATCACAGAGAACACCCTTAAAATAAAAATAAAAAGAACGCTTTTGACTGTGCAACATTCTTAACTTGCTATATAGTTCTTTAAAGATAAAAAAAGTTACTGGTGTTACATTATACACTCTAAAAAGGTCCATAAAAATAGAGTCCAATGTACTGTGTTAATAAAAAGGATTTTTTTTCATATTAATTTTTCACAGGTGTTTCCCTGTACATTGAATTGTGCTTGGTATTGTGTTTAGAAAATAAAGGCAAACTTAATGGAAAATGTCCTGCCAGAAAATTACCAGTAGCTTTTGTACCTCTGCAGTGAATGGGTGCCGTCAGAATGAGAGTCCAAACAGCTGATAAAAACATCACAATAATCCACAACAAGTAATCCACACCAGTCCATCAGTTAATGTCTTGTAAAGCAAAAAACTGCGTTCGTGCTTTTGTAAGAAATTCATCAAGACGTTTTTTTAACTTCAAACCGCTGCTTACAGCTATACAGAATGTTGCTTTCTCCAGTGAAAAAGTAGTCATTTTTAATTAGGATCAAGCACTGTTTACAAGCGCAAATAGTCCAAAACATTTCTAAACAAATATGTTAGTGGATTTTGATGTGAGAGGAAAACAGGGGATGGACTTTTTTCACTTGAGAAAGTGTTATTATGGATTATGAATAATATTTTAGTCAAAGTCAAAAATGGCTTAATTATGGATTTGTTTTGTACAAACACTGAGCTTGTCGCTTCACAGGATGTTAATTGATAGACTGGAGTGGTGTGAATTACTTGTGGATTATTGT